ACCAGTGAATACCTTCAGTGTTGCATCAGTTTGTTGAAACTTTTCAATTTGTATTCTGTCGATTCCTGGAGCCTGGTTTTTGCCAGTGTCTTCAGTGCCGCTAAGGATTTTCCCTTCAGTTTCAACAGTTCTTGATCATCTGGTACCTCTTGAAATGATTGAACATTAACCAATCTGTTTTGTCATAATGACAATGTGTATGCCTTTGCACCTTCTTTTAATGTTTCCTATGTCGTTAAATATTTTGCCCATAGAATCCCTTAATATTGCAACCCGAGGCTTGAATTTTTTTAAGTTCTTTCACTTTGAGAAATACTAAGCATGTTCTTTCCTTTTGGTTTTCTAATTCTAGGTCTTGAACATTTTGTTATAACACTTTTCTTTGTCTTCTTGAGCTACCTTTTGAAATTTTCTGTTCAGCTCTTTTACTTCATCATTTCTTCCAGTTGCTTTAGTTCTCTATGTTCAAGAGCAAGTTTCAGAGCCTTTTCTAATATTCACTTTGATCTTTATTTTCTTCCCTGTGCTTTCAGTGGTTCCTTTTGCTTTCTTTATGTATGATGTTCTTAATATCATCAATAATTCTGTGGTCTTCAGTCACTGGTATCTGCATCAAATCTTGAGATGGTCTCTAAATTCAGGTGGGATGTACTCAAGATCATATTTTTGTTCTTGTGGACTTGTTTTAATTTTCCTCTGCTTCAGCTTGAACTTGGATATGAGTGATTGATAATCTGCTCCACAGTGAGTACCTGGTCTTGTTTTGGCTGATGATACTGAGCTTCTCCGTCATCTCTTTCCAGTGATGTAATCATCTGATTCCTATGTGTTCCATATGGTGTGGTCCACATGTATAGTTGTTGAAAAAGGTATTTGTAATGAATAAGTTGTTGGGCTCGCAAAATTCTATTATGTGATTTCCAACCTTGTTTCTATCACCAAGGTCATATCCTTCCTCTTTGTTTCCAACTTTCACATTCCAATGACCAATAATATAATCAATGCATCTTGATAGCATGTGTGATCAATTTCACTGTGAATTCTTCAATTCTTCATCATTGGCTTTAGTAGTTGGTGCACAAATTTGAATAATAGTGATATTAACTGGTCTTCCTTCTTGTTGTTATAGTTAAATGCTGACTCATAGCAGCACTGTTTAGGGTTTCTGAGAAGCGGCTGGTGGGTTTGAACCTAGTGCCGTACTAGGACTCTGGTCTTCCTTGTTGGCATATGTAAATGAGCCTATCACAGATAGCACTGTACTTCAAGATAGATCTTGAAATGCTCTTTTTGACAATGAATGTGAAACCATTCCTCTTCAGTTTGTCATTCCTGGCATAGTAAACCATATGATTGTCTGGTTCAAAATATCTAATAATTTATAGTAGTGAATTAAAACAGTCTGTGTGGAAGTATTCAGAGGCTTTTCTCTTCTCTTCACTCAGGTATCCACTGGCTTGACACTGGGCCTTTTTAGGCTCATTAGGAAAACGGGTAGAAATTAGTAACTATTTGTAAGCAACAACACACAGTATAATAGATTGTTTACAAAACCTAAAATGGAAGAAAACAATTATCTAAAAGGGGAAAAAAAAAGCCAATAAATTACAGCACAGGGTCAAGATAAAAGATTATCAGAAGCCAAGCAGGCCAGGTGGGAAGAAAAGGACTAGAAGAAATTAGATGGAATTGCCCAGAGTCTTTGGAGTGACCACAGATCTAGAGCAATATATAAGGCAGAAAAAGGATTCTAAGATATTTGGCTATGAACGACAAATTAGATATCTTTTATTGTTCTACCAATGACTCCAGTAGAATTATGAGTTGTTTTGAGATATTGAACTGGCGTTTTCTTGAATGGACCTGTGCAGACAGTGAATCCTGTAGTGTGCAGCTGTGGTTGCTAGCCTTTTACGGCCACAACTATCACCTCTACCACCACTACGGTCCATTGGTTTGTGAGCTTCCAGAGGCAAAGACTGTCACTTATTCATCTTTCTGCCACCACACCATGCCTTGTATGTAGTGCTTGGTGGTGGTTGTGTGCCACCATGTCAGTTCCAACACATAGCAACCCTGCACAGGGTTTCTGAAGCTGTAAAGCTTTTTGGGAGCAGAAAACCTCCTCTTTCCCCAGCAGAATGACTGGTAAATTCAAACTGCTGGCCTTGCAGTAGGCACCCCAGTTCCTAACCCCACTCCTAGGGTTTTTCTGGAACAAGCAAATCAATGAAGAGTCTTTACATCCAGACTCTACCTTCTGACCCTTCCTGCTCAGGACCACTGATTCCATCTTCCCCAGTTTCATAATTCTATTTCCCCATTTACAGAGATCCATTCAATGGCTTACAACTGTCTACACCAGAGTTTCTCAACATTAACATTATTTACACTTTGAGCTGAATTATTCATAGTGGGTGAGCTGACCTGTGTATTGTAAGTTGTTTAACAGCATTCCAATAGATGCCAGTAATAGCCAAGTCTTGTGACAATCAAAACTGTTTCCAGACATTGCTAAATGTCCTTGGGGTGAGGGTGGGGGTAAAATTACCCCTGATTGAGAATCACCTTTCTACACAAAAAAGTCAAAATTCCTGGGACTAGCACTGAAGAACCTTCATAATCTAATCCCATGCTACCTCTCCACTCTGAGCTCCAGTTTTCCTCACACAAATGCTTAGCCTTCACCAGATCTGTCTTCTCACTCTTCTATGTATAAATTCCCACATTAGTGTACCCTACCTGCAGAATAGCTTTCCTTGAACTATAAAGGTTTCTACCACCTTCATGGACATACTTAAGGCCAGAGCCTTCAGGAAGTCTTCCAAGATCAGAATTGAGGTAAATTCTGTTCTTTTCCTTTTCTTTGGGTCCTGTAGCTGTTCCTCTCACTGCTTTTCATTTCTTCTCATATTCAAAGAAGAGGGCCCATGTATGTGTGTGGTGGGGGTGACTATGTGCCGTGGAGTCTATTCCGATTCATAGCGACCCTGCGTAGGGTTTCTGAGGCTGTAAATCTGTATGGAAGCAGAAAGCCTCATCTTTCTCCTGTGGAATGACTGGTAGTTTCGAACTGCTGACCTTGAGGTTAGCAGTCTGACACGTTACCACTATGCTACCAGAGCTCTTTGGTGTGCCGTATAAAAATACATAAATGGGAAAGATGTCACGTACATCCTGTATCCACCTCAAAGTATGGCAAGAAATGAACAATGAAGTCTCCCAACATTGGAACTGACTAGTATCAAGTTAGAAAAATAACAGCTATTGCAAGTTCATAACATAACTCTGTCACTAGAAATTGCCTAAAGTTAGTGGATATTTGTAGACCAAGCATCCTAAATGATTATAAGATTCTGTAATAGTAAAATTAAACAAAGAGAGACATTATGATGAGAGAGTCATTCTCTTAGACCTGGAGACTATGCCAGTCAAAGTAGGGTCTGACTGAAAACTACAGCTGGATGGCTGACTTTGTCAGTAAACTTGTACTGAGACACATCCATATCATCTATTGAGTTATGTCCATGACTGTCTTCCTGCTACGAAGATAGAGATGAGTAGTCTAGAAAGTGCCTTTCCTCTTCTCATTTCAAAGATTCTTTCCCTCATCTCTCAAACATGAAGAAATCTCCTCTATCTCAAGCTTCATTTGAAGAGTTCATAACAAAACCTTCATTTGACCTGCTGACCACTCTAAGTACTACGCAGTCTCCTCCTTTCTTTACCAAGTCAAATTCATTAGCAAGTGGGTTGCAAGTGAAACGTCCACTTCTCTATCAACCATTAGTCCCTTGCCATCCTTTTTCAGATCCTAATACACTAAGATAAGTACAGGATGTTCACTGCAATGTTGATGGAGGCCTGGTGGTATAGTGACTAACAGGTCAGCCTACTAACTAACTAACTACCTAACTAACTAACTAACTAACAACCAGCCATTCCATGGGAGAAAAATGTGCCAGAGAGCTTTCAGGAAAATTTACAGCTCTGGAAATTCGATGGGACAGTTCTGCTCTGCCTATAGGATCACTATGCGTTGGAATTCACTCGGTAGCTATATGTTTTTATGGTTTGAATGTCTCCTAAGTAGCCCTGGTGGTACATCGGTTAAGCACTCAGCTGCTAATCCAAAGGTCAGTGTTCAAACTTACCAGCAGCCCCATGAGAGGAAACAAGTAGTTTTCTGCTCCTGTAAAGATTGTTGTTGTTGTTATGTGTCATCAAATGTATCACAACTCATAACGGCCCTATATAATGTTTCCAAGGAGTGGATGGTGGGTTTAAACCACCACCTGTGCAGTTAGCTGCCCTGTGCTAATCCTACAGCACCATACCAGGACTCGCCTGTAAAGGTTACAGCCTAGGAAACCCTATGGGGGCATTTCTCCTCTGTCAAATAGGGTGACTGTGAGTGTGAAGCAATTCGATGGCACAAAAAAATAACAACAAAAAATGTCTCCTAAACAAGATCAACAATTGTTATTACTTCTTAACTACTAAGAGGATGAGACAGCACTTTGGGGATGTTTGTTTCCATGACTTTGAAGACACTGCCCTACCCTCACATCTCCCCATTCTCTCCACTCCCTTTCCTCCCCGGCTGTTTCTTTTTAGCCTCTGTGCATGTAACTGCATACTGGAAAGGTGCCTTTTGCTGCCTTCCTCAAGGGAAACATTTAATAATGAAGGGTATAGTCATCAAAAAAGTTTTATTGGATGGATGAGTAATAGTAATTAAAATGATAGTGTTCTAGGGATCAGAGAGAAGAGGGAATACTTTGGATATTATTTATAGGTAAAAAATATGGAAGACAACGCTATTCTTTATGGTCTCCTCTTCTGATTCAACTAAGCACCTCTCTGTGGTCTTTGGAATGTTACTGGGTGAGGGACTGGAATCTGTACTGTTTGGAATGCAAATCTGATAGCCTCAGTAAAGAGTCCTTAAAAGAACTTGGAGCGGAGGGTTGTAAACATGGAAATCGTGATGACTAACCTTACAGCACGAACTCGGGTCTCTCGGGTCTCTCAGCGAGCCTCAGGGCCTCATGCATGCCTGCAGCCGACAGCTTACGGTTGATGTTACGGTACTGGCATTGGAGCAGGCTGCGGTAGGTGGTCCTCAGGTCGCGGTTGAAGAAGGCGTAGATAAACGGGTTGATGAGCGAGTTCGCATAGCCCAGCCACAGGAAAGTCCTCTCCACCCACAGTGGGATACAGCTGCAGGAGGTTCCACAGATGAAGGGTCTAGCAGTCGACAGGAGGAAGAACGGCAGCCAGCAAATGGTGAAGGCGCCAACGATGATGCCCAAAGTGGTAGCCGCCTTCTGCTCACGCTTGAAGATGGAGATGTTCTTCCTTTCGTGTTTGAGGAGCCGAGACAGGTTAGCGCATTCCTCCACATCCTTCTGGTTCTTCATCATGCTGCCGTTGATGGAGATAACGCTTTCGGGGTCATCCAGGCGCTGGGGGAAACCAGGGAACCGGTGCTTGGCAGCACTCTTCTTGGCAGCCTTGTAGATCTGGTAGTACATGAAGAGCATGACAGACATGGGGATATAGAACGCCACTGCGGTGGAGTAAATGGTGTAGCCGAAATCCTGGCTGATCAAGCACACTTTGTTGTCGTTCACGTTCTGAGCCCATCCGAAGAGCGGGGGGAGAGTGATGGAGGCGGAGAGCAGCCAGACAGCCAGAATCATTTTCGCCATGCATTTCCCGTTCTGCCTTACAGGGTAGGTGAGGGGCCTGGTGATCCCAAGGTACCTAAGGAGACATGAAAAGGTAACAGGTGAATACTACGGTGATGAGCGGAGAAAGAGCTACAATCTGTACATGTTAGCGCCAAGCCTTCCATCAGTCTGTCTAGGGAAGCCTCATTATACCCATTTGGCAGAAAGATATAACAAGTCCTGATACATTACTTATCTTATGCTATGTCACACATCAGCCTGAGGGATTGCCAGGAGTCTACCTGAGAGCCCTCTGGTTCTAAGGCCAGTCCAAGCTCTTTTCATACTAGTAGCATCTCACATTCCATGAAGTCAATGCACTAAAGATGGAACACCAGTCCTTCCTTCCACAGCCACGAAGACCAAAGCCAGCCAGGATCAGACACCCATGCTGAAGCAGGATGCAGGAACACATCCTAGAGAATTATCCAAGGTCTGCCACACTTGGATATGACACGTCCACTCATCTCACGCTAGCCTCCCCTTTGTAGTGTGGTGGAAGATCCCAGACATTTGTGAGACACACCTTCAGGAAACCCTGGAACCTGTACATAGGAGGTCACAGTTGTCTTTTTCCCAACCCTGGAAAATTCTTACACACGAACAACAGAAGAACAATTTATGAAATACAAGAAGCCTGCCTAGTCTCTCCAGTTTTAAGGCAGAGCACAGAAAGTATTAGGTAAATCCAACATCCTTTCTGTGTTTGTTGTTGTTAAATGCTGTCGAGTCAGTTCTGACTCATAACAACCCTGTATAGGGTTTCCTAGATTTTAAATCGTTAAGGGAGCAGAAAACCTCCTCTTTCTCCCGTGGAGCAACTGGTTAATTCAGTGCTTATCCTTTGAAGCCACCATGCTCGAGTCTCTGTGTTTAGTGCTATATAAAATACCATTGCCAGCGAGTAGAATCTGACTCATAGCAAGCCTACAGAGAATAAATATTTCTCCATCTCTGTCACCAAGGGTTTATATGACAAATGAGACTCAGCAAAAAGAGAAATATACAGTGAGATCATTTGCCAAATGCTTTTTTTCAGCTTTCCAAACTTGTTTGTTTGTTTGTTTTCCCTCTATATTTAATCATCACGCTGTGGGATAATGCACTGGATAGAATGGTAGTTTGAATTGCAAAGTCAGCGGTTCAAAATCACAGCTGCCCCTGGGAAACCCTATCAGGGTCGCTATGAGTCAGAATCGACTTGAAGGCACCTAACAACAATGTGTGTGTGTGTGTGTGTGTGTGTGTGTGTGTGTGTGTATACACATATATACACACACATATATATATTGTATACTCTTGAAATATGATGAAGAGAAAATATATAGATAATCTCCATCGTACTAACAAGCTATTTTATAGAAGTCAGTGAGTTGGTAGTTTGGAACTTAAAGAATAATTTCTACTAGAACCAGCCTCATGTATTAACACTTAAATTATTCCACAGAAGTCTTTTTTTACTATGAAAATTTGCATCCTTACAACAATTACAACAAAATAGAATAAATCACATTTGCTTGTTGAACAAGAATAGTTACTCATTCATTCACCAGAGAGAGATATTGATGATGCTCCCTCTACAAGTCAGATGTGAGCTAAATGTTGGGGATTTGGGACTAATGAAAACAGACAAAAATCTTGAATGAAAAAAACATGGGGAAAATTCTGCAGGATTTGAGTAGGAAAATTGACACTTGTGGCAATTTTTTAAAGGTACTTGTACTCACTCACCTCCAAGAATTTGAGGTATTAGTGGCACCGATTTGGTTCGATTCTTCATTTCGCAACCTCTGCCTTCCCTTTTCCTTGGTAAATCTGACCCACAAACACTATCCTTAGTTTATCACTGTCATTAAGATTTGTTTTCACTTCCAAATAGAAGGAAGAAAAAGGAAGGAGGGGGATTGCAAGAATTGCATAAGATTGCAGGAATGTTGGTTTTTGCGTGCTGTGAAGTCAGTCTCATAGTAACCCAGCATAGGGCTTCTGAGGCTGTGAATCCTTCCTGAAGCAGAAAGGCTTGTCTTTCTCCTGCGGAGCAGCTGGGGGGTTCAAACTGCTAATCTTGTAGTTCGTAGTACAGTGCTTATCCTACAGAGCTACCGTGCTCCCATCGCAAGAATAAGAATTTAAGAGAAAAGATGAGTGGGAGAAAGTGAAGGAGAGGTACGGAGAAAGGGTGAAGAGAGAAAAGTCAATATTGAATAGAATTTACCATGTATGGAATTGTCGAGTTTCAAGGTATGGACAAAGCATTTTACAGAAAATTTATATTGAAGAAGAAGAAGGTGATGATGATATCCCTAAAGGAAGGTGTCAGAATTGACTTGAAGGCCAACAGTTAGGCATATCTCTGCCCCACGACTGAACATAGATACTTCATTTTTAAAAATCGCCCTTCTCCTATTTTGCTTCAGGGGCTTTCTCCAAGTTTTTCCTGCTGGAACTCCTTTGAAGGTCATTTTTCTGGACCTCATCCTTGCACTCTGCCAGCCCCTTGTAGATGTGGGCTTTCAGGCTCCTTCCTTGTTTCCCTGCTTCCCCCTATATAGTTGTTCCCAGCACTGGGAATTTGATGGTCCTTCTCTCTTTCTGTAGCCACAACCATAAATTGCTCACTCCCAAGAATGGGGTTGGCTTTCAAGGCACACGCCCAGTCTAAAGCCCCAGGTTCTCCAACAAGTTAAGGTGGAACGAGAGGTTAGTTCATACAGTTCCATGGAACACCAGCAGATGGCATTGTCAGACCACCTTACACCTACTTGCTGGGGGTTTGGGATGAAGGGTAGTTAGAGCAGTAGGGAAGGGAAAGTAGGAATAGTTGGAGCTAAAGAAATTGTATTTTGCTAGTGGAATTAAAAAAAATAAATGCCATCCAGAAATTTGCAACCTAGTAAACTCCATCCTTGAGGAAATCAGTTCTGTTTTCCCTTCCATTCCTTCAGTCTACTTTTTGAACTCAGGACACTAACTTCAGACTTAATGAAACCAGTCTTTTATCCTGTCCACATAAGCAATATGCGGGGGCTTCAAAAAGTTCATGGAAAAATTCAGTCTTTTAATTCCGTTTTTCTTCATACTTACTAAAGCCACCTCATATAGAATCCACACAACTCAGTTCTAAGTTACTGATTTCGTATCAAAGGGAATAAAAGAATATTCACTTACTCAAATTCACTGCGGTGGGTGGAGTCAATTCCAATGCAAATGCGACTTATTGTACAGAGTAGAACTGTTCTATCGTGTTTCTGAGACTGTAAACCTAGACAGAAGCAGACAGCTCAGCCTTCTCCTGAAGAGCACTGGTGAGTTTAAACTGCTGACCTTAAAGTTAGCAGCCCAATGCTTGAGCCACTGCTCCACCAGGGCTCCTTATAAGAATATTAGAAAACCTAGCAAGAGGAGCATATTGACTCACTCTAGTATGCTTTGTTTGACATCTTCTAACTATGGTGTTGGTGAAGAATATTGAATCCACTGTAGACTACTAAACAAATTACTCAGTCTTAGAAAAAAATACACCAGAATGTCCCTTAGAAGAAAGGATGGCAAGATTTTAACTTTTATTTTAGACATGGCATCAGGAAAGACAAATTGCTAAAAAAAAAAAAAAAAAAAAAAAGACATCATGTTTGAAAAAGTGAGAGTCAGACGCCAGATATGGAGGCAGGGACGGAAGCGGCTGTGGACTTTAGACCCAGAGAGGGAGGGAGGTTGCTGATGGGGGGAGGGGGGCCAGGCTTGCAGGGTATACCCTTTGGTTGGTTGATGATGCATGGAGGGGACTGTAACCATGGCAATGAAAGGATATATGATAGGATGAATGTAAATCTAATGTTCTCCCATGTAAACTATCACATAATTCACAATAAAACATTTAAAAAAAGAGAGAAAAAACAACGGACACCCTCAATTAGTTGAACTTATACAGTAGCAACACCAATGGACAAGATTATGAAGTATACACAGGCTGGGGCAACATTTTGTTCTGTTACATAAGGTTGCTATGAATCTAAGTCCGCTGGACAGCAACAAAAAATAACAAGATGGAAAACCTATATTCCATAAACTCTATTTTATTTTAAACTATATTCACTAATGGTCTTAGGTTATCTTCTATAATAAGATAGTTATATTTAACTTCTCCTGGGTACCACTTGGGGAGACTTTAGAAGGCTGGAATCAGCTAAGTTATTAGAAAAAACCTGTAAGATTTTGTCTAGATGCAAAATAAATACAGTAAATCATTTAAAAAATATTTTAAATTAACAATTAGGAAATACAGGAGGAAATAAGTCCATCTACAGAAATAATGAGAAACTTAAAATATCTGGGGAAATCTTTTAAAATGGCCAAGACCTATATGATAAAAAACATAAAATACTACTGAAAAATATGAAAATTCTTAAATGTATGATTAAAACACACCTTTTTGTATCAATTTTAAAAAGCAAGTATTGTTAAAGTGCCAATTTTCCCTCAGTTAATCTACAAATATGATACTACCCCAACTGGAAAACCTAGCAGGGATTTCTTTGGTTTAACCAAATGATTTGTTTAAGTTCACCAATGGCAAAAAAATCTAAAAAAAATGAATGAATACTTATCCTACCCCAAAAAAAAAGTATAAATTACAGAAGTAAAGGCCTAATAGTAATTACTCAAAAATAGACAAACCAATAGAATGGAATAGATCCCAGAAATAACACAAAAATACACAAGGTAATTTTAATTTCTGGGAATCTGTCTTTAAAAAACTTACAAAAGTGAGAAGTAGGAGAAAACAAAAAGAATCAATCAAAATATCAGTCAGTAGAAGGTGAGTTAGATAAATTATGTTGTTGTTGTTAAGGACTGTGGAGTCGGTTCCGACTCATAGTGACCCTGCACAGGGTTTCCGAGGCTGTAAATCTTTACGGGAGCAGAACCACTGGTAGTTTCGAACTGCTGACCTTGAGATTAGCAGCCCAATTCGTAAACACTACGCTACCAGAGCTCTTGAGATAAATTATAGTATTATATATATATCTGTTG